TCCATCCCTTTCAAAAGTAGCGATCGGGCTGCCAGGGAAGTCGGAAAAATTAAGAATTTGCTAGAAAAAAACTTCAAAACTGTGTCGCCCGCTTCGCAAAAAGCAGAATAAACCCAGCAATGCCTAAATTTGGAGAACCGAAGGGAAAGCAGCCGTTTGCCTCGTTGAAGGCTTCTCGATTCTCACGTTTCATGCCTAAATCGCAAAAACAAGAACAGTGTAGCAGACGTAAAATGTAGAAAGGAGCTCGCAATTTCGATTCGCCAAAAAGGAGAAGCAACACAATGAGCTTTTTTGTTTCGGGACCGCATCAATGACTTTTTGGTACAGTTTGAATCAAAAAAGTAGCTTTTTTGTTCCGCCCTAGTGCCCAAAAAGCTAACGCACTCCTGCGGTCCGTCCTTCACCGAGCGCACCGAGTCGTCGACGCGGCCGCCTTTTCTGTAGCGTTCGTCGCGGCGCCGGCGGTCACTCTCGTACATGTTATCTAGAAAACAATAAATTCATGGTTTTTAGAGCCACGTACGCAGCTTCTCCGTTGATACGCGACGACTGGTGTGGCCGCCCGGGGTGGGTGTGTCCCAATCGGAGCGCGTGCGTGGGGAAGAGCCTGGAAAAACGGGCGTAAAAGTGGAGCGGATGCTTACGAGTCAACTCATCGTCGTCCCAGCCGCGATTCGGGGATTCTGGCACCTGAAAACCCAAATTTAGGGACAAAATTCTAGCTAAGAGCACGTAGAAATTCCAGCAAGGGGTTTTACTCACCAAAAAAGCTGGCGTTTCGACATGCCGGGAGCCGCGGTTGCGATCCGACCGATCAGATCGGTCCCGTCTGTCCCAATCACCGCGCCGGCGATCACGATCACGGCCACCATCGCGGTCCCGATCTCGATCCCGTCTGTCTCGCTCTCTAAAATGCAACGATTAGCAACAACGCTGGGTCGCCCCGACAATGTTCAGCGCCCCAGCGCCTCCCCCCCCCAAAAAACACGTTTCAGGGAAAAATATGAGGGCTAAAAAAAAAAAGACGCTGTTAAAAAAAAAAAAAAAAAAAAAAACCAAAAAAAAGAGTAAACCGAGCGGAAAAAAAAAAAAACCCCCAAAAGGCCAAAAGGCGCCAAAACCACCCGCGAAAAAAAATCCACCCGGAACAATAAATGTTCCCCCCCCAAAAGAAAATGGGGAAGGGGGCCAGGCCCCGCCCGCCAAAGCGGCAGGATAACCCAAATTTGATGCCTGTTCAGCTTAATAACAGGTTTTCTGGGCTAGTCCTGTGCGCAGAGTTCGAATTTGAGGCTGTTCGACTAGAAAAACGTCAACTTCAACTAAACCTCACTTTAATTACATGAAATTTCAAACTACAACCCCCAAAAAAGGCCAAAAGTCACTAAATCACGCGCGAAAACCTTTCTCGCGTCGAACTTGTCCGTTTGGCTTCTAAAAAGGGGAAATTGGGGTTAGACACGCCCAAACTAGCACGCTAAAACGTTTTTTTTTTCGGGTGGCCTAGCCGACAGCCTATTTTGCGCCGTCATGTAACCCAAATTCGATGTCTCATCAGTCTAAAAACACGTTTCCTGGGCTAATTCTGGGCGCTGAGTTCGAATTTGATACTGTTAGTCCAGAAAAACTTTAAAATCTTTAAAAATCACAAAATGAAACGTACTGATCGCGTGAGTCGGCTTGCAAACCCCGGCGATCTTCTCGATAGCGGTCTCGTTTGAAGCTGAATAAAGCACATTAATTGAAAGCCGTAAAAGGTCCTACTCGTCAATCTTGTGGCGCACGCTGTCCGAGAGGTGCCCGGGCGTCTCGTTTTCGCGCGTGCGATTGTCCCGGCGCCGCTCGTCTGCCAACTAAAAGAAGGAGTTTTTGTAGTGTTTTGACCTTACAAATCAAGGAAACTAAAAAAGAAACGCAAAACCACACCTTGTCGAGGCCAAGGTGGCTCTTCTCCTTCTTGGAAGAACTGCCGCCAGCATCATCGGCTTTTCGTTTGATGACGAGACCGCCGCGTGTTTCGTTGAGCGGCTCAAGCCGTGTAGGGGCTTCTGCTTCTTCCTCCATTCTGAAAAAGGAACTACGTCAGACAACAATGAACGCAATTTGAAGAAAGTAGAACAATAAGGGACCATGACCTTCAGCAACGACATTTCAGCAACTTTCGAAAAGAGTGCGGAGAGAGGCGAGAGTCCAGACAGTCTGCCCGTCTGGACTTTCTCCTCCCTCCGCACTCTTTTCAAAAGTTGCTGAAATGTCGTTGCTGAAATGTCATGGTCCCAACAATAAATAGAAAAGTAATTCCGAGTGAAGCAAGTCGATTTCCGAAAGCCCGGGAATTTCATGTCGTCACCGTATGTGACGGAGGGTTTCGGAATACAGTGAAACGCGAGTAAATGCAGTGAAATGCCGCAGAAACTTGCAAGATATTGTCATTGTGCCACAAAATAATGCAAAACTGCCAGCTGTGCCCGATGCCAGTTTTCTGCTCGTGTTGTTGCTTCTTTTCGGGGTTTCTCATGTGTTGAGTGCATTGGTTTAGGCCGAATCTTCGCTTTATTAAGCAACAAAGATGACATCCAGGGAACACGAGTATCACAACTAACACAGCAAAATTATTAAATTCATCGCTGAATAGATTCTTAAACTTTTGTAGCCATTGGCGCTACTCGGCGGGGGTAGGCTTTTCCAGGCGGCTCGGGGCGGGGCGGCTCCTCGGGGCGGGGCGGCTCCTCGGGGCGGGGCGGCTCCTCGGGGCGGGGCGGCTCCTCCGGGCGGGGCGGCACGCGCACTTTTCGCTGCTAGAAAATGATGTATTCTTCAAAGATTTAGGTCATCGGGGTTTGATAAACGAAATAATAAACCTTGCTGAGACGGGCATGGTAGATTCCCAGCGACAAGGCCTTGCGTTGGAGACAGTAAATGCAGGTCCCTGAAATCAGTTTAGACCTTTGCGATGAAAACCTACGATCGACGAGAATCGGCTCAATGCCCTGGTTCCGCTGCTCCGTGCCGAACGCGCACACATGACTGCGGATGCAAAACTTGTGTTTTGGGTTTTCCGGGTCGAAGTTCCTAAAAAAGGCATATATTCTATAATTTTTTTATAAATTGATATTACAAACTACGCCCCTATCCTTATGTGGTAAGGAAGTGGCAAAGTTTACTCAAGCATGTAGTCGCATCTCGTGCAAATGATGAACTGGTCGTACTGCCGACCGTCGCGTTGTTTTGCGATCACGATGCCACAGAGGTCACACTAAAACTTGACAATGAAATAGAGCTGTTAGACAATATACTTTTCAGATTGGGAAAACTGACGTGTTTCTGGGGGAGGCTCGGCTCCGTGTGCTCTTGCTTCCGGTCGGCCACGAGGGACATAGGCTGAAAGCCCATAACATCGATGCGGATGAGCATCGCATCGAGGCAGTCCGGGATCTGCAGGTTCGCGATTTTGGCACGGATCTCCGATGGCAGCCTAAACGGAATAATATCAACCGCATTTTTGTTGTTCTGGATGGTTAGCCAGGTTTAGAGAGAAAAAGCCGGTTCTTGTGTATTCCGGGGGACCGAACTTTTTCCCGCCCAAGCCTAGATTTTTTTATATTAGTAGTGGAAGTGTTTCTAAATTGTTGATAGCTATTCCTAAACATCAAAACTTTACAAAATCTAATCGAAAAACTTAATTTGAGGTAGCAAATTCAATTTTTTCGACACAAAAATGACCAAATTTTCGACTTTTCAAGCGTTTTTCTAACTTTAAAAAAGTTTTTCCGATTCAAATAGGCTTAAATTTTGCTAAAAACAATGTGAAAACACTTTATATTTGATTACTATCACCACCAGGGCCGAGAAAAAGTTGGCTTCCCCCCCGCGAATTCCCCCCGCGAATTCCCCCGGTGCTTTGTAAGAAACGCGCCCGCTTTTGACATAAAAAAATCCGGGCTTGATTTTTAGCCCCCCCCCCCGCTAACGTCAAGCACCCAATCCTCCGTAACTATTGTACTAACAGACCTTGCCTTTTAACAGGCTTGTGAAGACCAGCGCTTGGGGGTGTTCTGGGCGGCTGGAGGGGCAGGGCTGGTTGACCCCTGAAAGGTTTTTAGTGAATTGTTATTCGAATGAAGCTGAGATCTGAAGTCTTTGAAGTTTTTAAGCTCGATTTTGGAACGCTTTCCGACTCGTTATCAGCGTCGGGAAAACGCTTTCAACCAGTTCCCCCTTGTTTTCGTTCATACGCTAGTTCCCGCGAAGCTTAAAAATGTCAGAGCCAAAGCATCACCTAGCCGGCGAGAGTCTGAAGTGCGGAGTGATATTTTCGCTGCCAAAAATGCTAATAATGCAGATTTTTGGTATGTTAATCAGCAGACGCAAGGCACATCGTTATCCGGTAATTCCCTGAATCCTACTATCTATAAAAAATAGTATGTCTGTGTGTTGCATGCAACTTCCGTCACCGTGTCCCTAATTAGGTGCGTAATGGCCTCGAGATATCTGCACGCATAGCAGATTCTGCACATTATGCTATTTTTCAACTTTTCAACCCTGCTAGCGACGAAAAATAGAATTCATGCTCTCAGTTACAAAATCCAACTATCCTAGCTGGGAAAAAATGGTGCATTTACAAGCATGAAAAAAATACGTGTTGTTGCTTCTTTTCGGGAATTCGACTCTGTTCTGTACAAAGAGTATAGTCTCCGCAGCGTTTGATCGGTAATATATGAATACGGAATCACAAGCGAGTCTCAGGAATCGTCATCGTTTTCGCGAAATGTCTTGGAATCGGCCCGCTGGGTTTATTGTGAGGAACACGGTTGTTTTTTTCTATTCCACGGTTTGAACGAATGATTTATTCGACCGGCGGAGTATATCACAAGGCAAATCGAGAACGAAAAGCACAAGCGAGATTCAAGTATTTAATGTGTATGTGTCTTTAAGAGGTAGGTGAGGAGGAGATGCGAGGACGAGGACCACGAGGATGAGACTTCGAAGGGTTTTCAGTAGCCGAGGATGACCAGCTTCGCCCCGAGTTCAGTTGGCTAAAAGTTCGTTTCTGGGTCAAGGGGTTTGCGAATTATGGCAGAGCAGCTCACGTACCACGTCAACCATCTTCAGCTCTGCCGCACGCTTGATCAGGCAATACCAGCAGTCTCCTTAAAAAAGTTTGTGCCAGAAAGCGGAAAACTCACGGTCCACGAGGCGCGTCTGCCGACCATTGATGGCCTCCTCGGCCACGTACCGGCAGACGTAGGAACTGTGGCAGTTGCGGCTGCCGACCGTGTACGTTCTGGAAAAGGCGGTGGAGTTTTTCGCTGATAAAAGCATTTATGAATTTTTCAGCGCTCTGTAGCATGACGACTGCGAACTACCAGAACTCAAAAAAATTGGAAATTTCGAGTATCCACTTGTTACACTATCTTACACTATCCAGCTATCGAGTTGCACCTCCGGAGCACCTACGTGAGGATCCTACGGCAGTGCACGTCCAGAAGCGCGCCTCCGATTTTGTAGACGCCGCTGGACGTCTCCAAGGCGCCGCAGAGTTTGCACTAAAAATTAGGGTCTAGAAGATTCTCGGAAGTCCTGGCGAAAATTCAACGTTAAGAAACACACGCTGCTGTCGTGGCCTGGCGCTGATGTCGACGCCTGAAAAAAACAAGTCTTCTAAAAAAGGGGAAAGGGGCATGTACCTCCTGGTTCGGCCCGATGTTGTTGATGATGCGGAGCTGGACGGCTGCGAGGCCCAGGCCGTCCAACTGCACGAGGAGACCGTGCAGGGTCGCCTGCACGCGATCAATGACGCTGTAATTGCAAAAATGTAAAATTATGGCCTTAGACTACATGTACATCACCGATTTTCAGAATCCAGCCCCTAGGTCGTGAAACAGTTGAACATGAAGTCCGGTTTTAGCATTTTTTTAGCAGTCCCTAACTATGCGCTTCATCATCGCCCACTTTGAAAAAATTAGCGCACTATGAATAACGCGGAAGTTCTCTAGAGGAATTATGTATAAAAAAAAATCGAATGTTGTGTTTGTATCGTGTTTTTAGTAGTATTTGATTGTTAGCAAGGTGTTGTTTTTGGCCATATTTTCGATTCATCAAAGTTTTTGAACATTTTGACGATGTTTTTATAAACTGTTTATATTTAAAAACATTTAAAATTTGACAAAAAGACGGCCCGTTAACAGGCCATAGTCTACTAACCTACCGCGCCTTTAACAGGCTTGTGAATACCAGCTTCTCGTGAGTGGGCGGCAGGTGGGGCAGGGCTGGTTCCCCTAAAAAATTTTGGTGTTTGAGGCTAAAGTCTGAGTCTTCAAAGTTTTAAGTTCGATTTTCGAACGTTTTCAGGCTCGTTGTCACAATTTTATTGCTTGGTTATATTGCTTAGAAGTTTAAAATCCAAAAAGCGACAAAAGTTTTTTGACAAATTAATAATTCCTATCGACTTACCAGCCATTACTGGAGTTAGACAAAAATGTTTGGTCTCCCCTATAAACTCCCCCTCGATAATGCAAAAGTACCGAGAATACCTATGAACGAAAATGTATATACCCATCTCTTTAAAACCTACATAAGTTTGTGGGAGCGCAGATGGATTTTCAGCTCCACCAATTCTTGGCCTCGCTGATCCGCGACCGAACATCCCGAGAAGACGGCCGTCGATTGGGTCAGCTTCCCGATGGCGCCGAGGCCCTTCCGGAGCACGATCTGAATTAAGCGGATTTACTCAAGGGTTGGCAGCCTCTCCCTACCACTCCAGGCATGGCCAGTGCGGTGACGCTTATCGGCAGCTCAAAGAGCCACAGCTCCACGGGAACGTACCATGCCGAGTACCTCGTCACAGCCTCAAAAAACGTTTGCCATTTAAAAAAATTATTTTGTTACCCTGCCCTCCTTGTTGGGCTTCTTTTTCTCTTTCTTGCGCTTCTGCTGGGCGTCCTTCACGTAGTCGATGTGGCCCTGCTTGTGGTTAAATTTCTCATTTGTTACTCGCTTTACCTCGCGAGAGCGAGAGACAGAGGGAGACAGAGAGGCAAGGAAAGAGAAAGAGTGAGCGAGAGAGAGAGAGAGAGAACGAGAGTGAGCGACAGAGAGACAGAGAGTGAGCGAGGGAGAGAGAGAGACAGAGAGACAAGGAAAGAGAAAGAGTCAGAGAGTGAGCGACAGAGAGAGAGGGAGCGAGCGAGAGAGAGAGAGAGAGAGAGAGACACAGAGAGAGGATGAGAGGGAGAGAGCGAGAGAGAAAAGCCATTGAGATCCCCACCGGCGAGCCCACAAGTGACGCCCCTGCTTCCGCTCCTCGGGTTCTTCGGTGATCGCTGCCTTCGGCAGGCTCTCGTTCGGCGGGTTCTCGGCCGGCAGCGTCAGAGGGCGAACCGCAGGCTCCGCCGCGGGAATGAGCTAAAAGCGAAAATGTTGCAAACTATGTTAATCCTTGTCAGAGAGCGAGAGACAGAGAGAGACACAGAGAGAGGGTGAGAGAGAGAGCGAGAGAGATAAAGCTTCATTTGAGATCCCCTACCGGCGAGCCCATCAAGTTGGCCCTCTCCTCCTGCCGCTCCTCGGGTTCTTCGGTGATCGCTGCCTTCGGCAGACTCTCGTCCGGCGGGTTCTCGTCCGGCAACTTCAGTGTACGAATCCGAGGCTCTTCAGGGCGAATGAGCTAAAAGCGACAATGTTGCAAACTATGTTAATCCTTGCCAGAGAGCGAGAGAGACAGAGAGCTAGAGACAGGGAGAGACACAGAGAGAGACAGAGAGAGAGAGAGAGAGAGAGAGAGAGAGCGAGAGAGATGAAGCTTCATTTGAGATCCCCTACCGGCGAGCCCATGGGGTTGACCCGCTCCTCGGCCTCCAAATGTGGTTGGGGAAGCATGTCGGCTTGGTTGTCGTTGTCGTTAGGCAGCGTCACAGGGCGAACCGGCGGCTCCGCATCGGGAATGAGCTAAAAGCGACAATGTTGCAAACTATGTTAATCCTTGCCATCCCGAGGTTGACATCAAGACCGTGGCCTGGTCGGCACTTGAAATAGGCCACGTCGTGTACTTTTCCGGCATGTCGGCCAACAGCTTCGTCAAAGATGAGGCCCGCGAACCGACCGGAAGCCCACCGCACAGGACCGATGTAGGCGATGCGAACGTTGTACCCGCCTGCAAACACAGAAATTGTTGAAGAGAGAAATCGTTCAAATTTGTGGAATTTCCGGGATTTTCTAAAGCGTATTACATAGACGGTGGAAAAACGTGCTAAGAGAACGTTAATCTTTGCGAGAGAGGGAAAAAGGGAGAGATAAGGAGAGAGAGAGATGAGAGAGCGAGCGAGAGAGACAGGGAGAGAGAGTGAGAGCGAGAGAGAAGCAGAAAGATAGTCAAAGCGAGTGATAGAGAGAGCCGTTTTTTGGCCATTTTCGATACATCAAAAATTTCCAAAATTTTGACGTTTTTTCATACACTATTTTTTTTCGGAAAAGCTTGGAAAGTTCTATAAAAAAGGGTTTATATTTGGTTAATTGGCCGTACGGAATTACGGGGAAAAATTAGTTTCGTCCCTGCTAAAACTCCGCTAACAGTCCATAGCCTACTAACGTACCGTGCCTTTAACAGGCTTGAGAAGACCCGCTTCTCGTGAGGGGGCGGCCGGAGGGGCAGGGCCGTTCCACCTAAAAGAATTTAGGTGATTGAAGTTGAATTATGAGTATTCGAAGTTTTTAAGCTCCTTTTTAAGTTTCGAAGATTTTGGAAGGTTTTCAAGTACGGCAAAAGTGTTTTCAAGGCATTTTCCCCCTTTTGCTTTCGTTCATGCTTTAGCGCTTCCCGCGAAGCCTAAAAAACGTTAAAGAAAAAGCATCACCTAGCCGCCGTTGGGCCAGAACCTCCGGTCGAGTGTCATATTTTCGCGGCCAAAAATGCTAACAATGCAATTTTGTTATTGTAATCGTCAGATGCAAGACACTTCGTTAATTGGGCAATTCTCAAAAAACCGGGGTTGAAAAGCCGCTTCGCGTTCTTTCAACTCCTATTATTGGTTACCGGCGTTTTCCGGCGCATATTAACTTGACCAGTGGAAAAAGACCGCTTCGCGGCCCTTTCCCGCTAAGCCCCATCCAGGAACCATGAATTTGAATAGCTTCTTTTTAGCCTGCGGGGCAAGAACCTGAGTCAGTGAGTCTTTGGCCTGCGGCGCCAGAGCCAGTGTTGCGCGAGAATCCTTGAGCCTGCGGCGCTAGCTACTGCTTTTTCTCCCGGATTTAGCCTGCGGCGCGAGAGCGTGCTTCATGGACCTTTTCTTTGGCCTGCGGCGCTAGAGCCTCGGTAAAGGACCCATCCTTGGCCTGCGGCGCGAGATCCTGGGCCAAGAACTTTTCTTGGGCCTGCCGCGCTAGAGCGAAGGCCCGGCCCAAATCGCGCACACGGAAAGCCTAGAAATATGTTTTGTTGCTGAACGACCAAAAAGCAAAAAGATAAATTTCTCTCGGATCCGAAGCCGTCACCCTCAACCCCGTAGCCCCGGCCTTGCTCCACTACACCACAGGGGTAGGTTGGAACGGGCAGCGGTAAAGGGCTCTTCATATCCTGGGGGCACAACCGGGCTGTGCTAAAAGGAATGGGCCCCAGCACCTCCCCAGGCAGGCCTTCAGGCCACTTTACAAAATTCAACTTTTGAGGTGGAAGCTGGTCGAATTTTGTGAAAATAATAAGATGCGCGTGATCCTCGCCATTGAATGCATGACTGGTCAAAAATACAGGTCCAAACCCCCCAAAAATTTGAGCCAGAGGGCACCTACGGAGCTGAAAATTTGCACAGAGGTAGCGAAGCCAATTTCCCATGTATATGGAAAGTTTGAGCCATATCGGCCGGCGGGTTTTAAAGTTATAGCGAAAATACTTTTCATTTTTAATTTTAATACCAGGGTTGAAAAACCGCTTCGCGGATTTTCAACCCTGGCCCCGTCTAGGACCCGTGAAAGTCCTCAATTTGCATGTTTCTTCCTGAATCCAAGCAAGAAAAAAAAGTGAAAAACGGTTCCTTTGTCCCTTTATATAGGCTCTTCCTACTTCCGGCGCATGCTAATTGCCCCTAGCAAAGAGGTTTTTAGCATCCTTACAAAAATTCAATTTTAATAGCGAAAACAGTAATTTTTCAACACTTTTATGTGTGTGCACTCATCTCGGCACCTTTACGCACCTAATGACGTATCAAACATACCTTAAAAACCTTCCCCAGAAGCTGTAGGTGCGGTACATACTCACGGAAGTTGCATGCAAATATACACACACACACACAAACACTATTTTTTTATATATAGTTAGATTAGATGGGGATCTTTGCAATTTGCATCAAAAATATGCGTTATCCTTGCATTTACGAGCCGATTTTGCATAAATTTTGCGAAAAAATGCCATTCTCTTGCTGGAGCATGGCGAAAACGATTGCGTATGAAGAGTAAAAAGAGTGTGAAAACAACTGTTTTATCGATCCAAACCACGCCTTATTGTGCATTTTGACAATCTGCCTCGCGCTAGCCGTGAAACAGGGTTCGATGAGCGTCTAAGTGGTGCTTAAGTTTAGATTTGGGCTTGGGTTTAAGTCGGTCCAAAGTCTAAGCGAAGTTCAGGCGCTGAACGATAGCTTCAACCAATATATCTTGTACTCACTGGAAAGTGTTTTTACTCAGGCTGTCGTTTTAGGATGGGACCAAGCCTATCTTGTTCAGAATTTTTGCTGATTCCGAATCCGTTTTCCAAATTTGCTGCGGACTTCGCGTTGAAAAGTCATTTTTGGTCTAAATTAAAGGCCTCTGGAAAGATGGGATTGGTCAAAAAGCAAGAAGTAATGCCCCGGACGGGGGTCGAACCAGGGATGGTCCTCTCCGCAGTCCAACGCGCTACCCCCACACGAAAGGGGCCGAGTGGATGGGGGCGGCGGAGGGGCCCCAAATACCCTAGGGGCGGATTGGTGCGCTTTACTGGGCAACAATTGAAAATAAGGCTATTCATAAATAATAATAACGAAAAATGCTATAGAAAAGCTTGCTAAAGGAAAGCAAAGTACTCCCATTAATTTCCTGGTGTGTTTTAGGCCTTTACTGACGATTTTTCAACTAAAGAGCGTCCCAAAAACCTCTTTCCGCTCAGAACATGGCTGTCTCCTATCCAATCAGCCTCAAATTTTTACCAACGATGGGGATGGCTAAAAACTATTTCTATGGAAGTTTCTGGCCCAGAATATCGTCAATCAAAAAAGTTATCGCTATAAATCTGTTTTCTTGAAACCCAGGCGGGGGCTTTGGGGGCCCTTACGCGATGGAAAGCGTGCATGGTATCGCCCCGTCGGTCCCTCACCCCTGGGGACGCCCGGCCATCTTTCCAACGGTCTTTAAGCTTAGAAATACCACTATTCCCTGCCTCGACCCAGGTATTGTTGTGCCCCTTATCTACCCTCCCGAAGCCCCCTTCCCAGTTGGCACCATGGTGCATTGGTAAGCTGTTCGCTTGCCAGGCACAGGGCGTCGGTCCGATCCCCGCCCTGCACAATTTCTTTTGCTTTTTGCACAAAAACACATGATTTTTTGTATAAAATCGTGCTTTGACCTCTAAAACCATTACCGAGCCAATTTTAACGTCGGAGGTGACGACAACTTAAAAAATAACGCAAAAAATCCAGATTTAGTCAATTTTTTTAGTATAAACGTCGAATAACTTTTTAAATAAAAGTCGGCAGCAAATTTGGAAACCAGATTCTGAATCAGCGAAAAATTCTGCACAAGATAGGCTTGGTCCCATTCTAAAACGCCAGCCTGAGTAAAAACACTTTACAGTCAGCGGTCTTGCTGATCGTTTTCACGCTGCATGAGCAATCGTTTTCCAAAAGCTCCAGCAAGAGAATGGCATTTTTTCGCAATATTTATGCAAAATCGGCTCGTAAATGCCAGAATAACGCATATTTTTGATGCAAATTGCAAAGATCTCCATATTAAATTAAAAATGAAAAGTATTTTCGCTATAACTTTAAAACCCGCCGGCCGATACGGCTCAAACTTTCCATATACATGGGAAATTGGCTTCGCTACCTCCGTGCAAATTTTCAGCTCCGTAGGTGCCCTCTGGCTCAAATTTTTGGGGGTCTTTTTTTGGGACACCCTGTATGGCCTTGACACCACCGCCCGTGACACGATTTATTAAGGACCTTCCAGAAAAATCCTTATAAAAACTTTATGTTCAAAAATTTTGCAAAATCCAAAAAATGTATCCGGGGAATTACTTTTCCCATCTACCTTCCAAAAAGGAGGCCTCAATTCCCTCTAGGCGCTGAGAAAACTTCCGGACAACGCGGCAAAAACCCATTTTGTTAAGGTTTTTCACTTTTTTGCTTATAAAATTGTTAAATGATGGTATTTCGTAAAACAAAAAAAATTCATCACCGACAAAACTGTTTCTCCACATCCATGCCAAAAATCAGCCGGAAATTTGGTGTAACAGCCGAGAAATCGGCTGTACAGAAAACAGACATACTTTTCCCGCTTATGAGATAGGAATATAACAAAGAATGGTACCCGGTTTTTGATGGAAAGCTAAGTTTAGTGTCGAAAACAGCGGATTTTGTAAACAGTGGAAAAGCCCGCTTTGCGGCCCTGCGGCGCGCGGCGCCGGAGCCAGCGTTGCGCTCGAATCTTTGACCCCGCGGACGTATGAATTCATGTCGACACGGTATTTGGCGGAGGTTTCGGAATTATGTGAAACGTAAGTGAAGGCAGGGAAATTCTTCCAAAAACGCAAGATATTAGGATTGCGCGGCGAAATAATGCAAAACTAGCAGCTGTGCCCGTACTAATTTTCTGTTGTTGCTTCTTTTCGCGCTTTTTGCTTCTGTACAACGAGGATAGCCACCACGGTGTTTTATTGGGAACACGAGCAATCGGTAATGGTATACTGAACATCATCACAAGCGAGTATATTTTGTGAACATCGGCACATGTTTCTCGGGCTTTAATGGGCGGCTGTCGGTGGGCTTCATCCAGCGGTGTTGTTGTGCTTCATGCGGGCGTGCTATAAAGGAGATGTATTCCATAAAAGTTGTTGGCCATTCTGAGTTTGGTAAAGGTGAGTAAGAAACCTTTTCTGACTGCCGCGTCTGCTTCGTGCCGGTGCGGCAAGCTTTGTCGTATAGACATTGGTCGCAAGCACCTAAATATTTGCTTTTGGCCATTTCCCGGGAAACCTACAGTCGACCAACTCTGTCTGGATGCCGTTTTCCAGAAGCCCCTTCACGTAGCGGCAGGTGTGGCTGAGGATGCAATGCTTCGCGTCGGGCTGGTATTCGCTGAAACACAAATGTATTTGGTGTCAGCTTGCTTAGAAAAGAAGCTAACTGATCGAACTTACTCGACGATGTGGAGGCAATGCTTGCAGTGCTTGACGCCGCCAATCTTCGTGCGCAGTCGATCCCCTTGGCCATCTTCGCCCTCGGCACATCCGCACATAGGGCACTAAATCAAGCAAGTTAAAAACAGTCAAGGCATCGCACACCATTATTTTTTGGTATTTAGAAAGCTTACGCTCGGCTTGGATAGGCGCGGGTCGGCTTGATGCGCATTGATCAGGTCGTGGCCGTCCACCTTGCTACCGAGCACGAAAAAGTCCGGCAGCTGCTTCTGCAACGTGGTCAGCTGATCGTGCAGTTCACGCAGGAGCCTGAAACTGGGAAATTCCAAAAACAAAACTTGGCTAAGGCGAAAGAACTGAACCGTGTATACTTACACATTGCCGACGACGGTCAGCTCCATCGTGTAATGGCGCACACTGGTCAGGTCAGGATCGGGCGAAAGCTCATCGGAAATCATGGTGGCGGAGCACCCGGTCTGTTCGCGGATGGCGCGAATCAGGCTCGCGGACGACGGCTGAACCAGGGAACCTCAGAAATGCAAGCATCTCCCTACCATGCCTTTTAACAGGCTTGTGAACACCAGCTTCCCGTGAGTCGGCGGCAGGAAGGGCGGCCGGCTGTTTCTCGGCTTTGAGCGTCGGCTTCACCTTCTTGTCGTCGACCTTGGCGCCAACTCGCTCTTCATTCCCTTCGACGTCCTGCAGCTCGGCCGCCTCCTAAAATGAGAATATAAATCAGAAGAATGTTTCCTTGTATTTTAGTTTCGTTTAACCGGAGTTAGGCAAAGGTGGCTAACATCTCTCTCTCTTTCTCTCTCTCTCTCTCTCTCTCTCTCTCTCTCTCTCTCTCTCTCTCTCTCTGTCGCGTTGGGATCAGATCCCGTTATATGGTAGCGTAAGAAGCTGAATACCTCGGTGGGTGGAAGGGCTGCCGGCTCGGTCTTGGTGAGCTCCTTGTTGTTGATCTTGGCCCCGCCAACGAGTCCTTCATGCTTTTCCGTATCTTGCTGCTCAGCGGCCTCCTAAAATGAAAGTATAAATCAGGACAAATTTTCTTTGTAGTTTCGTCTCTCTCTCTCTCTCTCTCTCTCTCTCTCTCTCTGTCGCGATGGGATCAGATCCCGTTATGTGGTAGCGTAAGAAGCTGAATACCTCGGTGGGTGGGAGAATTGCGACCGTTTCGTCGGTACGCTGCAGCTGCGCATCAAGCAACTAAATCAGTGACTGATTGCAGTTTTCATGGATGGGAATTTACCTTGTCATACGGGACATAGAGCCCGTGCCGCCATTTACAACGGAAGTATTGATGCCCGTCAACATTGCCGGAGTGCTTCCCGACAGGTTGGCGGAACTCGAGGCCGGTGTAGATCATTTTGGACCACGCCACCGGCCCTACGTACGCCAACTTCGCCGGGTGGCCACCTGCAAAAAAGTAACTCGGTGCTTTCCGTATAGCGGGTTAATGGCTAATTTTACCCTGTCTATCCGCTATTAAAATATAAAGTTACGTTGTATTGCTTGTTGAGCCTTGTCGCGCGGGGTAGGGGGGAGGTACAGAAACAAACACTTCCGATCCAAGCCTGGTTTTTTTTCCTTTCACATATAGCGGATGTAATTCTGCACTGTTTGTAACTAATTCTCAGCCTAAAAACTTTACATGAAAAAGCCTGATTTGAATCAAAAATGAAATTTTAGCTAAAAAAATCCATCTTTCCGAACCAAAAATTAACAAATTTTCGAGTTTTCGAAGAATTTTTCCGACTTTATAAAAGATTTCTGCTGTTTGCTTGCTGTTATGCTTAAAGTTCTGATGCATTTCCGGGGGTGGGGCGGAGAGGCTCATGCTAACTTTTTTTTGTATAGGTCTCGAAATGACTAATAATTACTATCTATACTGTCATAACTTAATAGAAAGCGTTGCAAAGTGTTTTAGTGATATATAACCATATTTCAACCGTAAAATCTCCGTAAAGAAAATTTCAAATAGTGAAATTTTTGGTCGAAAACGATATTTTTGATCCTTTTTGAGAAACATTGTAAAATGTTCACCTTAAGGAATGGCAAAAACGACTTACTATAAGGTGTTTGCGCTGACTGGCGCTTTGGAATGGGACCAAGCTTTTTGTGCCGAATTTTTCGCTGATTCTAAATCTGTTTGCCAAACCTGCTGCCGATTTATTAAAAAGTGATTCGAGGTGAACATTAAGCTTAAAAATGGCAAAAATTCTTTCGACCCCACTAGTGGCACTAACTGCAGCAGGACGGCAACTCAAAAATAACGCAATAAAATCCAGTTTGGCAATTTTTTTGGTATAGATGTTTAATAACTTTTCAAAGAAAAGTCGGCAGCAGATTTGGAACACAGACCCTGAATCAACGAAAAATTCTGCACAAGTTAGGCTTGGTTCTATTCCAAAATGCCAACCTGAGTAAAAACACTTTACAGTACTTTCCACTGCCACTCTCTGTATATATAAAAAAAGAGTACCTAAGAAAAAAAAATCCGAGCCTCAACCCTGACTATTTCTAATATACCCACCATAGACCACCATGGAGCCGACGGCTAGGCGACGTTCCAGCAGTCGGCGCGGTGCAGGGCGAGCGGCTGGCTGTGGCGGTTGTCCGTTGCGCACCGCAGCAGGGCGAGCGGGAAGGCGCCCTCCGACAGGCATTGCTAAATAAGGTATGGCAAACGTCCGCAATCTTTCGGCGCTATCTTTCGGGGGTAAGAGTTACCCAGTAGGAGGGTGTCCCCAAAAAACCCGACCCCCACGCTAACGGTCCGCGGAGAGGTCGGATCGTGACGATTTTTACACGGCCCGAAGGTTGTTGAAACGGTGAGATGAGAAAAGCAGCGCTTTTCGTTTCGCAAAAATATGTCGTTTTAGACATCTATCGAAAGCTCTCAAAATGGCGAGAAAATACGCCAGAGATTGCCAAACACCTGTCCGAAAATCATCTGTCCGAAAAACACCTGTCCGAAGAACCTCTGTCCGAAAAATCACCCGTCCGAAAAAACATGTGTCCGAAAAAACACTTGTCCGAAAATCGTCTATCCGAAAAATCCTATGTCCGAAAAGTCGCCTGTCCGAAAAAAACCAGTCCGAAAAACTAATGTCCGAAGCAGCCAATCAAAACTCTTTTCGAATTACTTAGCCATTTCATAAAGGTTCGAGGTGTAACTGCCACCAGATAGCCCCACGTGGGGAAAGCCCCGGAATCGTGACCCAACCAAGTTTCATCGGCCGTATCTCAGGGAATGTCTGCCCGAGCTCATTGAGTCACTCTCCAAAAATTTATGATACAGTAGCGGTTCGTATCCCTGGAAACTACCCTCCCATTTTCTCCAAAATCCGTTTTGAATAGATTACCTGAAGGTCTTGGGAAGCTTCAGCCGCACTTCGATTTCAGGCTCCGAAAATGACTTTTCGGACAGTAGATTTTCGGATGGATGATTTTCGGACAGGCGATTTTCCGGACAGGCGACGTTTCGGACGGATCCACTGGTTTAGGCCAGGATTTTGACCTGGCTCCCCGGGAAACCATCTGCTGGCTCCGCCGGTGTGCCCCGGGGTAGCCAATGATAACAATTGGCGCCATTAATAGAAGAATTCGGTTATGTGACGCTTTATAGCAATGATTTTATATTTGTAAAAAACATGTTAAAAAATTTGTAATATGCGGATTAGCGACCAATATGTAACCAGGAACACATATGCTTTCATATATTCATAACCCTGTTTGTTTCTAGGGCGGTAACTTTTTAATTATTCCCGAATACTGTTATTAAATTTTACACAAATGGTCAAACAGGTTAAAATGAAGACTCTGAGTTGCATATTATACCGTGTAAGGACATGGCTGAATTCCTTAAACATCGTTTGTGCAAGGAAGCGCTTTGCCATGTCTTTAGGATGATTCTCAAATCCGTCTGAATAGCTTCATAAGTATTGTTCTTGTAGTCTTGTAAAACTCCCTATTTTCCATATAAGCTGACTGAAAAAAATCTCAGACTTAGGGCATGATCACGATCGCTAATATGTGTTGTATGCCGTATAATTATTATAATAGTAAATATTGTAAAACATTCTTTTACAAATTTGAAAGCATTTCTACAAAGCCCTAAACAACCGAACTCTTCCATTAATGGCGCGAAATTGTTATCATTGACTGCTCGGGGGCACACCGGCGGAGCCAGCAGATGGGTTCCTGGAGAGCCGGGTCAAAATCCTGGCCTAAACCTCGGCGTCGGTTTCGGACGGGTGATTTTTCGGACAGATGTTTTTCGGACAGGCGATTTTTCGGACAGTTGTTTTTCGGACAGATGTTTTTCGGACAGGTGTTTTTCGGACAGGTGATCGCCACCCTACGCCAGATCCACGATCCGAGAAATATAATAGATATGAGATCCGCCTCGAAATTGCATGCATGCAGGCCCGTACGGGAGCCGAGATTTCGGGGGGGGGGGCACCCACCCAAAAAATTTTTGGCGACCTCCCCCCGGTCGTCACTTTCGAAACCTTCGAAAATAGCGACAATAACAGCGCCGCAGGCGAATAAAATTAAAAAACCGCGTTTCTAACGCTTAAATTCGTGTGCAAACACATCGGAAACGGCGCGCGCAAGCGAAATTTTGTCCAGCAAAAATGGTGCACTAATGAAAAGAGCGCCGCAGGCAAAAAATTTTAGAAAAATAGGTTTTCTAGAAGTAAAAATCGTTTTGGAACATTGATAAACAGCGCCGCAGGCAGAAAAATTTTTGCGAGAAAAATCATAAGGGTCCCCCCTTATGAACTTTTCGGACCTCGACCCATTTCGGGGGGGGCACCGTGCCCCCGGTGCCCCCCTCGTACGGGCCTGCATGCATGGCACAGAAAAACAAACGTTTTTAACAAAACTTTTAGTGGGCTAAATAAATTATGAAAACGAGGACCGGCTTGTTTTCTCGCCTTTCAAAGGGCCTTCGAATGGTGTGGAAATCATCCCAATCCTCGCCAGAGATCCGGATAACCGGCCTAGGTAGGGGGAAGCTCTAGGCAGGGCGATTTTTTTTGGGACACCCTGTAGTTGTCCACCACCAAAAAATCCCAAAAAATGCCCAGATCCAAAAAAACCAGTTCCTTAAAACTTGAAAAAGCCTTTGAAACTCGATAAAAGGGTTTATGTTTCGTATTCCCCCCGCCAAAAGTCCAGAATCTACTGACCTACCGTGCCCTATAACAGGCTTGAGAAGACCAGCTTCTCGTGAGTGGGCGGTAGGTGGGCAGGGCTCGTTCCCTCCTGAAAGTTTTTTGGTCATTGACGTTGACTTTTGCAGTCTTTGAATCCTAAGCTCGGTGCTTTTCAAATAGGCTGGGTGGGGGGGGGAGATTTAGGCGGGGGGCACACTGCGTGGTAAGAGTCTAGAACCCCCCAGCCGGCACCAACTTTTGTATCTCGGCCCCCCTTTGTGCTAGCGAGCTCTAAAGTATACCAAAATGTTCGCCGTAGGCTAATTAGTAAGACTACGTTGCAGTTTAGTCGAAAAAAGTAGCGAAAAATAAAAATAAGGAAGGTAGAAAAGTTGAAAAGTCGGCTGGGGGGGTTTCCTAGACTTGAGCCCACTGCGTCTCTACGCCCGCCCTGTTCTCTAGGCACCTCCTCTGCCTATGGGTCCACTTCCCCCCCCGGGCCCCCGCCTAAATCCCTCAGCCTATTTGAATTGTACCCTAAGCTCGATTTGGAAAGGTTTTCAGGTTCGTTGGCAGCATGGCGAAAGCGTTTTCAACCCATTTCCCCTCTTTCCTTTAGTAAATACTTCAGCGCTTCCAACGACGCCTAAAAACGTAAAAGAAAAGCACCTAGCCGCCGCCCGGCCGGAACCTCAAGTGGAGTGTGATAGCTTCGCCACCAGGAATGCTAATAAATGAAGTGTGATAATTTTTCGTATGTTAATCATCAGACGCAAAACACTTTGTTAATCCGGTATTGCTCTAAAATAACGACTAGAAAGAGAATTCATGCTCTCCTTTTCAAAATCCTAGCTACATAGAAAAAAAATAGGCATTTGCAAGCGCAAGAAAAAGAGAACTGTAGAACGAGGAATACAAGTCATTTTTCTTGTAGAATATACGATTGACGACCTACAGTTTACGATGAAAAACGCAGGGTACATCAGATTTGAGCTGTTTTATCTCTATTTTTTCCCGGATTTCACGGCCTGTCAAGTCTCGCAACAAGCGCCCGCGAAATTTCTGTTTCGGTGAATGACATTTTTGGCGCGAAAATTATGCTAATTTTGCATCAAGACTTAAGAATTACCCATGTAAGCTATGCAAATTATCCCCCAACCCCCATTAAAATCATAGTGGTTTTTTTTTGTATGAAATTTAAAAAAAAACTACTGGGCCGATCGGCCTGGAACTCTCTCTTCGTGAAACTCTTAAATTGCCTTGCGTATGTCTGTGCAAATGCGACGAGACTAAGCTTAAGCCTAAGGCTAAGCCTGAACCTAAGCATAAACTTTTTAAACCTCAGCATAAGCCTAAGCCTAGATCTGAGGTCAAGCCTAAGCTTAACCCTAACCTAAACCTGGGTAAAGTGATCGGGGACCACTCTTAAGCATAAGCCTTAGCCTAAGCCTGAGCCTAAGCCTAAGCCTAACCCTAGGCCCAGGCCTAATAAGCACATCAACGCTCCGTTTAACAGCATGACCTTTTTTTAGTTTACCCTATAAAGTTTTTGCTTCAGTATTTTTCGCTCGGGTTCCTGTGATTTTCGAGGGGTTTTTCCTGGGTTGTGCACAATGATGATTGACACGAAGGTGTTTATTCAAACAATGTAATACGCGCGTATCATTAAAAGCTTAAAAATTATCGAAGGTTCTGGAGTCTCCTTGAATCGGCGGATCGTTGAAAGTCTTCCTTCGTTTTAGGGTTCGTCCTCAGCGCCCTTGTCCGTGTAGCCGGGCCGAACCTAAAATTTTTTATTTGCGACGATTTTTTTGGAAAGTAGATAGTCGGAGTGTTTATAAACCGTTTCTTTTTTCTATACCTATACGTTTCACAAAATCTGGTTAAAAAAACAAAAAATTATCGCCTTTTCTTCCAAAAAGCTTTCGAAAAATTTTAAAAAGTTTTTAGATGGGTGTTCTAGTTAAAATATGATTTTGTTTTGCTAAAAACAGTGGAAACACTTCCTGTCAGTTACTAGGAATTTCCAGATTAAGACAAAAATCACTCCCCCACCCACCCCGATAATGCGACAGAACCTAATACCAGTTTCGGGCGGCTGGGTGGGTAGCTGCGCGTGGGTGTCCCCGAGACCTTGTCCCTCGCTTTTCCTATCTGCTCCTTCTCTTGCTTTCCACGGCTGTTGTTGAGGTCGTGCTCACCCGTGTGCCCCTTGCACCTGGAAAGGACTACGCATTAATAGCCTATTCTACTGGTATGCTAGCAGAGAAGCAGATTCACAACTCAAACTCTCCCACTTGTCGCTGATGTTGCAGTCGATCATGGTTGCGTCGGCGGCTTTTCGCTGCTCCGTTGCCTCCGGCTTCTTTTTCTGCTGTTTCTTCTTCTTCTTCTTCTTCGGCTTCTTCTTTGGCGTCTTCGGCTTCTTCTTCGGCTTCTTCTCCAGCTTCCTTTTCCGGCTTGCCCTTTCTTCCCTTCCTCCTCAACAGCCCAGAACGTGGGCGCTCGGCTCGCAGGGGCCGCTAAAACAAAAGAGTTATTTAGAATTGCGAGATAGAGAAAGTGTGTTTAGAGAGAGAGAGAGAGAGCGAGAGAGATGGATGGGCCCAGAGCGGAAAGCACTCTCTCTCCTCGATTGGCCAGATATAAAGTGTTTTTACCTTGTTTTTGGTATGTTCTAACTTTATTTAAAATTTTAGCAAAAGAAAAATTGATTAACTTTAGCAAAAGAAAATTTCAAAAAAAGTTTGAAGAAGCCGAAAATTTGGTCATTTTGGGTCGTAAAAAATCAATTTTTTTACCTATAATTAAGGTTTTTATGCTTGAGATTAGTTAAGAACAACTTAGAAACGCATCCGCTTATTGTAAAAAAAATTTAGGCTTGGGCGGAAAAAAGTTGGTTCTCCCCGCGTGCGCGAATGCTGAAGAACGAAGAAAATATTTAAATTTTCTACTTTATACTTTATACGCTAGACCACGAAACCTGGGTGTTAGCGCGCTGCTGCTGCTGGGGCGGCGGCGGCGCCGGCAGCGGCTGGTCGTTGTGGGGCGGCGGCGGCGCCGGCAGCGGCTGGTCGTGGGGCGGCGGCTGCGGCTCGTCGTGCGGCGGCGGCGGCGGCGGCTGATCGTGCGGCGGCGGCTGCGGCTCGTCGTGCGGCGGCGGCGGCGGCGGCGGCGGCAGCGGCAGCTGCTCGACCAGCTGAACGAATGGCCGATTGCAACTTTCACGAAAGGAGAGCAGACCTTGTTGATGGCAATGTATTTACCATGCCGCCAAGGGCAGCGAAAATACGCGTATCCTTCAACAGTGCCGCAGTGGTTCCCGACGGGGCGTTCGAAGTGCAGACCGACGTAAATCCCGTTAGCCCATTTCACGTTGCCGACGTAGGCGACTTTCGCCGCGTGGCCACCTATAAAAAGGAATACGTGATCCCACCACCTATAATTTTGACGTGAAACACCCTATGTTGTTGTGGATAACGGTTTCGCGGTACAATTTGAGATCATGAGAGATAGGGAAAGGGGCTTGCCGGCTAAAATTCCTCAAATTTATGGACTCTTACAGTAAAGTGTTTTTACTCAACCTAAGTTTCGATTTGGGACCAAGTGCATCCTGTGCAGAATTTTTCGCTGATTCCGAATCCGTTTTTCAAATTTACCGCATCCCCAAAGTTATACGGCAATTATGGTAGTGTTTTTCACCAAAATCAAGGTACGGTTTTCGAGTTTCTTGATCAATTTCAGCGTCAAATCTGACCAGACATTGGGGCGACAAGCATTTTAAAGGCCAAAACAAGCCTTTTGATAAAAAATTAGAAGTAAAAAAGCAAACTAAGTGATGCAGGGCGGGGGTTCGAACCGCCGCCCTGCGCTTGGCAAGCGAGTACTTTGCAGGCCCCCGGGAGTCATAGAACCAAGTAGGGAATAGTGGGTCAGAAGCTGAATTTTTCGCCCTTTTTAAGCTTAATTTGCACAAAAAAGACTTTTGAAATAAAAGTCCGCAGCCATCTTGGAAAAACGGACTCGGAATCAGCGAAAGATTCTGCACCAGATAGACATGGTTTCACTTCAAAGCTGATGTTGAAAAGAGTCGAAATTTTGGTCGAAACAATAAAAATTGATAGAGTTTTGACGTTTAGGAATAGTAAAAACCTTTTAGAAACACTTTCTCTATCCATGTTTGAAAATTAGATGCTAAGAAAAAAAGTTGCTTGCCCATAAACTTTCTCCTCCCCCCCCGTAATGCAAAAGAGCCGGGAAAAATCGTAGACAGCTAAATTGGTTCCGGAAATTATTAGCAACCGCGGCAGGCATAATCATTAGGTTACGCAGGTTACACAGGTTACGTTAGGTTGAATTAGGAGAGTACGGTACCTGGCCCAGAATGCAGGGCCCATGACGTGGGCGCCGGGGTCGCAGGGGCTTTTAAACGAGGAGAGTTCCAGAAAGTGACATTTTATTAATCCCGATTCAAATAAAAAATGCAACTCCAGAACGGAAAGTAAAAAATTCGAATCTACATTGTGAAAAGTTAAAGCGGATGGACATTTTGAGGTCAGTCAATTTGCATACTGCATAAAAAATCGTGACATGCTTCAATTTTTCCAGTTGGACGTTTGCGTGCGGTTGCCGCAGGAAATGGGGGCCCTCCATCGTGCCAGAGATACGGGAATTTTAAGGCAAGGATAAGTTATCTATAGTGAATCCAAGACACTAGACTTGGTCTGAATTTGATTACCAAATTTCTTACCAAATCAAATCCAGAGTACCAATTTGATTACTCAGACCAAATTTGCCCTTTAACAGAAGATAAACTATTTTTATGGTATTTAAAATAGTCTTTAGATGGAAAAACAATATAAAAAATAATAAAGATGTTCGAAAGTTTTTGAACTTTTGGGGGAATGTATGAAAAATGACCAAATAAGATCAAAATTTTCAAAAATACTGTTTATAAGGTTCTAGCAATCAAAAATTACTGGGAACACTATAAAAATACATTAAATGATCAACAGGCTTTAAAAGGTCAAAAGCAAAACGAGGTTCCCCCCGCTAACAGTCCATGCTTAGGCTTAGGATGTAAACCCTAAGACCGAGAAACGCTCAAAATAACCCACTTCTATAGTTTTCCCCGCCCTAGATAATTTGGAACTATCGGAAAATCGTGATTCCGCCCGTTTGGTAAGCGGCTTCGGTATCAGCACAACATTCTTCGCAGGATAGGCCTGGTCGCACCGTCGTACGTCGATGACTCTCCGAAACGTCTCCTTGTCAGTTTCCGGAGTTTATCTACATAGAAAAATTTGCATACGTGACAGATTGGCCTGAACAGCTACATTTGCATTCGTATATTTGATTTTATTGCGGTTTTTCCGACTGGGGAGCTGTCAAGACAAAAAGCATTCATTTACCTACTCGCCCCCCCGCCCGATGAGTCGCCCGCTCCTCTGCGCCGCCTGCCAGCGCCCGGGAATGGTCAGTTTGCGTACAGCGTTTTTCCGTTTTACGGACACGGAAAAAATCGCGTTTTTGGCTTAAAGGTACATTCCGCGCTCGTTAGAAAAGGGGAATGAAAAGGGAAAAAAACCCCCCTCCCCGGGAGAACAGCCCCCAAACCACAAAGGGGGGGTCCCCCCCCCCCCCCCCCGGGGTTTTTTTTTTTCCCGGGGCGCGGAACCAAAAATCCAGTTCGACGGCAAGAATTCGCCTGTCCGACCCTTCATCGCTCCTCGCCCCCTCCCCCTCAGCCCGTCTCTCCCATGGCCGAGTGGTCTAAAGCGCTTGCCCCAGGCGAGCGTCCCGGGCTCGGCTTTGCCCGACTTTTGGCACCCACCGTAACCCGACATTCAAAAACACAATTTGTCTAAGATCTTAGACCATTCAAAAAAGAGCGGACTGTACCTTTAAGTGAAGTTTACCCCCCCCCAGCCGGCACTCACCTAGCGTATCTCGGCTCCCTGTTGATCTACAGGTGTATAAGGTATACCAAAATGCTCGCCAGAAAAAGGCAAACATTTTGGTATACTTTACATACCTGCAGACCAACCGGGAGCCAAGATACAAAAGTTGGGCGCCTTCTGGGGGGGTAAATTGCACTCTGACAAAACGGATTGATAAAACAATAAAACGAAAAGTGGTTTTAACCTGCTCAAATCCCCCCGCTAACAGTCCAGAACAAAAAATAGATCGCTGTTCAGAGATCATCCCGTCCACTGGTCGTCAACTTGTGTCTGTCCTGCGATGTTGCTTCTCGCGCCCCGGCCAAGCCCGCCAACAGAACGGTACTGATTTGCTTTCGTGTTCCAATACCTTCAAATTTAAATACAGGTTGGTACGAGCACCGATGATTTGGAGTGCGTCGGCAACGTCGGTGCCGGCGTCATCATGGCACGACTTGTGAAGGTATCAGCACATTTTTCGCGATTTTCGACAAAATCTTCTCACTCTGCAATTAACGGTGGCTTTCAGAACCCTCCGAACACGCTGATCTCGTTCGAGCAGTTCATGAAGATGCCGTTCGCCATCTGGCTGGCCATCCTCAACGTGCTCAGCCCGCTCGAGCTGCTGAACTTGGCGGGCGCGCATTCGTTTTTCAAGGTAGTTAGTCCGAGAATTTACGGCTGATGGACTAAAAAAACTCTCCAAAGCCTTAAACAATTGTAACGATAAAATTGGCTTATTCTTGGTTTTTAGTAAGCATTTGGAAAATTTTTAGGTTTAGGAATAGGAATAAAACGATATTTCTAAACGTAAAGTCTTTACAAATTTCCATTAAAAATTGCAAAAATATAGACTTTACCGTTTTTGCGGAAAATTGCGCATTTTTGCAAAAATTTTCAAAGTTTCTCTAGTTTAAATTGGGTTTTCTTACTGAGAACACTACGAGAACCGCGATACTGCCTACTCCCTCCTTCAGGATCTCATCACCAAGTCGCCGAAACGATGGGGCGCCTTCAAGTGGGCACCGAACTTTTGCAGCCAGGACGAGCCCTGCGAGTACGAACCCAGATGCTTCTGTCTCTACTACAGCTTTCAGGGGCTATAAGCTGACGCGCAGCCGTTCCTGGTGGGAAACAACACGAACAAGTTTTCTCGCGTACGGGTGTGAATATAGGTAAAATACAGTGGGCTGCCATTTAATTTATTGTCTCCTAGTTACATCAAGGACCTGCGAGAAATCGAGTGGTACGACGAGCGGCGTTTCACGCCGGTGCGCCCGCAAGATCAGCGAAAAGAAACCGCCGCCTCCGATTTGTACATCCTTTTCCACAACGCCACATTCGATCAGGTAGCGTTGTCTTCAATTTATTATTTTATTGGTTCTTTTGCGTTATCGGTGGGGGAAGTGTTTTTTCTTTTCGCTTTTCGAAATATAATTTTTTAAATATAAATAGCGGAAGTTTCTATAAATGGTTTTTTACTATTTCTAACCGTACAAACTTTACAAAATGTTAATAAAAAAAGGTATAGGTATCGATTTTTCCACCAAAATGGCCGTTTTGTTAACAAATTTTACTTTTCGGAGAATTTTTCCAAATATTTAGGTACTTCTACTGGTTACCCTGTAGTTTTATTTTACAAAAACATGATGAAAATCCCCTCATCATTTTGAGGGCGAGGCGTCGAATTTAACGTTTTCTCGCCGGTATTCTGGACATCAGGTTTATGTTACAGTTTGGCGTCGGAACGGATTGGCACGTGCCCGGCCCGAACCACTACCCGATCATTCCATCGGTCCGCGCGGCCACGGCGTTGATGCCGATCAGGGGCCTCGAGGAGCGCGATTTTCGTCAGATGGGTAAGAGAAAAACTTTTCGAACCAAGCCTCATCTTTTTTATAAATGGCGATTGCGTTTCTACATTGTTTTTAGCTATTCCTACGCATCAAAACTTTACCAATTTTAATTAAAAATTTTCATTTTATGTCGAAAATTGATTTTTTCGCCAACGCCATTTTTTAAGCGAGCGGATTTTTCAGACTAAACTCAAAACAAAAAAACAAACTAAAAATTAAGCCAGCGAATTTTTTTTGGCTGTTTTCACCTCAGACTCGCCGAACTTTTTAGTCGAGCTCCAGCCCCAGTGCGTGGCCGTGCATGGCGACCACGGCGAGGGATCAAGTCAACTCGGCTCCATCGTTCAGCGAGTGGTCGCCATGATCCCGGTGGGTATAATTTAAATGGAGGAAAACGTATTTTTAAGCTAGTTTTCGAATTTATAATTTAAACGGGGTAAAACCCATTTTAAGCTAGTTTTGAAATTTACAACATAAAAAATATATTTTTAACCTAGTTTTGCAATTTTATCTTGTAAATAGAAAGATCCTTTCGCATTATCGGGTGGGGGGGTGGAGAATTTTTTGTATTAGTAACTTGATAAGAAGTATTTTCATATTTTTAGCACAATAAAACTATATGATAACTAGAAAAACTATCTAAAAATTTTGAAAAAGTGTGAAGAGGTCGAGATTTTGCTCAAAAACGGCAATTTTTGGTCGAAACATCGATAGTTTTTCGTTTAAGGATAGCAAAGATTAGATTACAAACACTTCCGCTATTTACATTAAAAAAATTGGTCCTAAAAAAGTTTAGGTACAGTGCGGTTCTCGATGAAACGTCAATCTTTCCAGGGCCTGCAAAAGTTCTGGATCTACATCGGGCATCACGCCTCCGAGATGGACAGTCTCCTGGCCGTCAAGGCGCCGACTATCACCGCCTACTGCGAAACGTTCATCTACGGTTGGCGACGGTCGATCAGAAGCTCAACTTGACTGGTTTAGACAAACGGAAGTACGCGTACGTGCCTGGCGTGGGTCTGGCGGAAATGCTTCGTGAACAACTGTGGACTACGCTCAACGCGCTCATTGCGGTGAATTTTTACGGGTTTTATAGGTTAGCGGGGCTGGACTGTTAGCGGGGGGGGGGTGTAACAGGGGGACAACTAAATTCGAAAATTTTGTCGTTTTTCGATCATTTTTCATAATTTTGACCGAAAAGGCAAAAATTTTCGAAAATTTGTATTATTTTTTCCATTGTTTTTACATCTAAAAGCGCTGGCAAATGCTAGAAAAAAATTTATATTCGGTTACGCGGCCGTACGGGATTACGGAAAAATTTCGATCTCCCCGCTAAACCCCCCCCGCTAACAGTCCAGAACCATCGCGCGCCCAGACCGGGTTGAAGTAGCTCATTTTTTCAGCAATGGGCTCGCGGTGAGCGGGACATTGACACGATCTCCTTCATCTTGCGCTGCCCGACCGGCCGCTACACGTCTTGGGACCGGGAAGTGGACGCTGGTGCGTAATCCAGGATGGGATTGGACACCTTCTTTCAGGCATCCCTTACTGGCCGGACTACATCTCTTACCGGTATGTCGGCCGGTACCGTGTCGACTGGGCCCGGCAGACGAGCGGTTTCTGGCTGATACGTCGAGCACCCATGGTGGGCATTATTCGATACCACAAACGGGTTCTTTCGCGTTATCGCGGGGGATCGACTTTTTATTAGGATCAGATTTTACAAATATAAATGGATAAGTTGCTAAGCCTTTTTTTACTATGGCTACGGCTTACTCTTATGTTCCGCACCTACAGGTTCAGGGAAGCATTTTTTCGGTAGCGAAGAAACGTCATAGGGTAAGGAAGGGGCTGGAATCAACTGCACACACATAAAATCTTTGAAAAATTGCTATTTTCGCTATTAAAATTAGTTTTTTTTGTAAAAATCTTGGCTTCCCTCTTTGTTAGGGAGAAATTAGCATACACCGGAAGTGGACGTGGCTTATAAAAAGAAAGGGGGGCGTGGTTTTCATTTTTTGGTCATCGGTTTTCGGCAAGAATTATGCAAAGTCAATACTTTCATAGGTCCTAGACGCGGCCAGGGTTGAAAAGCCGCGAAGCGGTTTTTCAACCCTGGTTTCTAGCTTAATTACAAAACATTTCTCCCCCCACCGATAATGTCAAAGTACCAAACAAACGGAACAATCCGCGTTTGCAGAGCGCCAACGGCCTGCTGATCGGCGTCAAGGGGTCCGCGGTCATGCTCATCTCCTGCGACTACAACTTCAGAAGGTTGGTCGAAGAGGCATTTCCAGTTTCTTAACGCCTTTTTCCTCACACATTGTCTAAAATAGATCTAGGTAAAATTGCTAAAGGGAAAAACTATACCTCACGAAAACACACGATTATATCGATTTTTTGCCCAAAAATTATTACAGGCCAAAAAGCGTAGCGAAAAGTGGGAGAGGCGATAAATTAAGCACCTCAATTCTTACCTCAACTTTTTGCAAACGATACGCCGTGCATAACATATTGTTCCAGGGCTCGCACACAGGACGAATGCGTCGAGTTCATCACCGACTGCGACGCCGCAAAGCAGCAGATCGAAGACGCATTCGCCGGCGATGACCCGTTGGAGGTGGAAGGGCACTGGCCCGAGAGGACCAAGAGGGTCATCACTGACGTAAGCATGAGGGTCAGCGAAAATCATCAATCTTTTTAGCGTCGAGCGGCGATTGAACGTGCCGAGAACGCGCTGAAGGAGTGGAAGATGAAGGCCCCCCACAACTCGGTGCCGATTCGCGAGCTGGCCGTCGATCGTATGGTAGCGTTTTGGAGACCTCTCTCGCTCTCTCTTTTTCTCCTTCGCGCTCTATCTTGTTCTCTCACTCGCTCTCTCTCTCTCTCTTGCTCTCTATATATTTCTCTCACCCCTCTTTCGCTCTCTATATATTTCTCTCTCTCTCCCCTCTCTCCCCTCTCTCTCACTGTCTCTCTCATTGAATCTTTCTCTCTCTAGCTCTCGCTCTCGCCCTCCGTGACTCTCTTTAGTCCAAAGAACTCCATTTTTTCAGCTCTGGCGCCCGGTCGCTGCGCCATTTCAGTCGTCGCTGGAATTCGAGCCGCAGGAGGATCGGATCCTGCACGTCTACAACCAGATCCACCTAAACCGCGATTAGAACCACCGTTCGCTTCCTTTATTTTATGATATGCTCGAATGTGATGCTCGTCTTTTGTGTGTGATAAACAATAAATGGGTCTGGCTATTGAAGAAATCAGATTTGGTTTTAACGTAAACACAAGGTAATTTCTTTGGGGCTTTTGCGCTATCGGGGGGAGCGGAATTTTTGGCTATTGGACGGAAATGTCTAGCAACTTAATAGTAAGTATGACCGGAATGTTTTGAGTAAGAGTCGGCTTTATTTTAAGTCGAAAACGATCAAAAACAACTTAGAAAACAATCCGGTAAAAATGTTGGTGAAATCGACAATTTTTCGCAGAAAAATCTGTAGTTTTTAGTATTTGTGTATCTATCCATCCAGTTATAAACTTTATATCACAACCAAGTCGTGTGCCACTGGAATAAAGAAACCCGTATAACAAAACAAAAATAGAAACTTGTGGGTATGGTACGAACACTGGCGTTCTGTCACTCGTCGGCTTCGCTGCTGGCCTGGGGTTGCCCTGAAATGAGGCTTAGGTTTAGGCTTGGGCTTAGACTTTGGCTTTGGCTTTGGCCTAGGCCTTGCTTATGCTTAGGCTCAGGTCTAGGCTTAGGCTTGGGTTAAGCTTGGGCGAGGCTTGGGCTTAGGCTTTCGCATACAGGCTATGGCTTTGGCCTAGGCCTTGCTTATGTTTAGGCTCAGGTCTAGGCTTAGGCATGGTTTAGGCTTAGGCTTAGGCTTGGGCTTAGGCTTATGCTTTGTCATGGCTTTGGGCTCAGAGTCAGGCACAGGCTTAGGTTTGGGCTTAGATTTAGGCTTAGGCTTAAGCTCAGGTCTTAGGTTTCTGCTTGACTTCAGCATAGGCTTAGGCTTTGGCTGATGCTTAAGCTTAGGCATAGGCATAGGCTTATTGGGCTTCGGCTAACACTTAGGCTTTGGCTTGAGCTTAGGCTCCGGGCTTAGGCTTAGGCTTAGATCAGGCTTAGATTGGGCTTAGACTTAGGCTTAGGCTTAGACCGATGCTTAGGCTAGGTTTAGACCTTGGCGTTGGCTTTGGCTTAGCTTATACCGATTGACTTACACTGTCTTTACTCCTAAGAACACATACCAAAGAGTTGCATCAGTACATCCACTTGCTCTTGCTGATCATCTTGAAACGGGACATTATCCTCGGTGGCTTCAAGCATTCGCTTAAGACGATCAATGGCATCGATAGAGGCGCGATCCTGTAAAGTTAATAGTATTGAAAGTACGGCGTAAAAAAGCGAGTACTGGACTGTTAACAGGGGGGGGCTAACGTGGAAGAAACCTTCAGGAAAATATCAGCTTTTTAAAGCCTTTTACACACCTTGAGGGTGCGCAACTCATGAAATTATGAATTGAAATCCATAAGTATGAAAAACGCGCAAAATTTTCAAATGTCCTAAATTAAAATTTTTTTATAACTTTCTAGCAATCAAAAAAATTAATAAAAATAACTATAAAAACCACACTAAGCATTAATAACATAACAGTAACTAAAAATTAGCTTCCCCTTGAGGATTTCTCCCCCCCCCCCGCTAACAGGCCAGTACCAAATCCGCCCCAAATTGTTGGATTTTCGAGAAGCTTCGATTTTTATAATTTCCTAGTAATCAAAAACAACAAAAAACAATAAGGATCCTTCAAAAAATAAAAGCTACCTTTGCTGGAGTAGTGGTTGCAGTTTTAGTAGTTGCTCCATTTCGCGAGGGGCCTGGAGGTGTCGTTTGAGCAGCTACAAGCGTATTCAAGCTGTTTGGAATTCAAATTACCAAGCTTTTCCTTTTTCGGGCTGCGCCTTTTCACGGGGCTGGCCTTGAAATCCTCGTTGATCATGTTCAGCAGGTCCATCGGGCTCGGCTCGGCGGGCTGGAAATTTTGCAATAACTTATTAAAATATTTTACGTACCTTTTCCGGGGGCGGCGCAGCTTTTGCGGCTCGACTTGTCGAAGGCCTTGGGGTTTCAGGCTCTTTGATCGGAGAAACATCTATAAAAGTAATTTTTTTCTTAATAATTAAATTAACATTTGAAAAACTTAATGTTCTCTTAATTTTTACCATCCAGCCCGAACTCCTTGTAGAAGTCCTGGAGGGAGTCGTTGTTCTTGCGGGCGCGCTGCGAGCGACGCCTTTTCACGGGAGGTTCGGCCACGTCCGGGGTCTAAACGAGAATTTATGATATTAGACTCTTAGCGGGGGAGGAATTTTTGTTTTTCCGCATACCTGTTAAGTTACAAAATATCTAAAAACACCTGAAAACTCCAAAATTGTTAACTTTTTGGTCATTTTTTACGCATTTCTGACGAAAAGTCATGGGAAAAATTTTGTACTCCGCTAACCCCCCCCCCCGCGCTAACAACAACAGTCCAGTACCCCACAAAGACGATACGACCTTGCCGATAAAAAAACAAACCGAAATTGCAGCTACCGGCCTCGGTTTCGATGTACTGCCCCTCTGCCTCTGCGGCGGCTTCTCCGGCAAGTCCGGCTTGTCCTTGATCGGGCCGAACTCGCGCAGCTTGCTCTTCACGAACTCGATGCGCACCTCCAGCTCCTCGGTTTGCAGGGGGAAGTTGGACTTGGCCATGTTGATCAGGTCGGAGAAGTAGAGGGTGGTCCTGTGGCGAAAAAGTAAAAGCCTGGAAGCGCCTAGCTACCGGTCATCAACCACTTCTTCGGCTTGCTTGTGCTGGCGGAGTTGGTGCTTTCGGATTTCGTCCTTGGCACGACTGGCCATGCCACATTCTGAAAGTTGGTGTTTAAGGCGAAAACCACGGGAAAGCCCAAGCCGAAGCCTAAGCTTAAACGTAAGCCTAAACCTACGCCTAAACCTGGGTCGTTCAAGAATCCCTTTCGAAGCGTAAGCTAACAAGGGAAGTGCACGACCGGCCCACGAGAAATCGACACGAGACATAGTGGATCTGATAGAATCGGACACGGGGATTTCGAATCTGTAATCAGAATTTGCTAAATAAAACGGAGAAAAAAGTTACGAAGCATCAAAGTTGGCTAAATCGCCAAAAACGGTACCTTTAAGGGCCCGTAAAAACCGGGGGGAACGGAATTGAGGAGAAAAGAATTAGTGCATCTTGTTCAGCAGAAAAAGTGCTTTCGAATCAGCTGTAATACGTAGCATTTGCAAAAAATTCACTGAAAAAAGTTTTTTTGGATTCACGGGCAAGGGTGTCAAGTTCATAGAAGAGATTTTCGCGAAATCATCGTAAACTTGAAGTAAGATAGCTCATTCGAAAGCGCTTTTTCTGCTGAACAAGATGCACTAATGGGTTGTGGCAAATTTCCATTCCCTGGGCCTTTAAAGGCCCATAAAAGTCCGATTTTGGGCGATTTTACCAACTTTGAAGCTGCATAACTTTTTTCTCCGTTTTATTTAGCAAATTCTGATTACAGATTCGGAATCCCCGTGTCCGATTCTATCAGATCCACTATGTCTCGTGTCGATTTCTCGTGGGCCGGTCGTGCACTTCCCTTGTAAGCCCAAGCTAAGCTCAAGCTAAGCCTAAGTTAAGTGCAAGCCTAAGCCTTCCCCCTTAGCCTATGCCTGGGCGTAAACCTAAGCTTAAGCGTAAGCCCAAGCCTCAAAGCCTAAACCTTGGCTAACCTTATGCCGAAGCCTAATCCCAACCCTCAGCCCAAACCTAAGCCTAAGTCTAAGCTAAGCCCAAGCTAAGGCTAAGCTAAACCTAAGCCAAGCCTAAGCTAAGCCAAGTTGAAGCCTGGTAAGTAAGTTTAAGCCGATCATGTCAGGAGTTGAAACCTTACGCGGACATTTGAAGGGCTTGTGATCAATGTGGATCATAGAGTGTTGCATGATGCATATCGTGTTGATGCACGGGTCCTTTTGCAGGGTAATCTTCTTGCCGCACAACTAAATTAAATAAAAATTTTTATGACGATTTTTGAAGACTTTAGCAAACTCTATGTAGCTTTAATAAAACGCCACCTGGCACTGATTCTTCTCCACCTCGCGCTCCTCGTCCAGATGAATCGATAGGCTCTCGTTGAAGCGGGCCAGCTGATTGTCTACATATCGCTCAATGTCCTTCATTTGAAGCGGGAAATTGGTCATGGACATCAGTTTCAATTTGGCGTAGTAGATGGCGGTACTGAAATCATTAGTTATGGTTTAACTCAGCTCAAATTTATGTATTTTAAAACTATTTTTCACTAACCGATGATCAATATGTGATCCTTCTTGGTTGTGCTGCTTCTTGCGATGAAGCGTGATTGATTGCCGGCGTGCGGCCATGAAATTGCACTCTGAAAAAGAGATATCATAATTACTGAATAATGGCGGTACATTACAATACTTTTTAGGCCAATTTTCCAGTATTACGGTGAGAAAAAGAGGTAAAACATTAATTTACCCCAAGGGTCCCAAAGTTTTTTCGCTATAACTTTTGTATTTTACATTATTGTAGATCAATATAAAACTCTAGGTATAGTTTTTGACGCTCTATCGAATGGCATTGAGAAAATCCCGACAAAAACAGCGCCATTATCGAAAACTTTGACACCCTTCGGCTAGGGGGAGGAGGTAAACCAAACTTTTCCGGAGTTCGAACTCGGGTTTTTTTGCAAAAAAAAGAAGTGGGCACTGTTTTTCTGTCATCGCTTTTGCTGTTTTAGGAAACTATCGTCAAAATCGGGGGGTTTTTAGTAACTTTAAACGTTAAAATCGTCAAAAAAGTGCCAGCCATCCCCCATTTCTGGAGAAATTACTCAAAATTGCGCGTGGCAAAGCACTCCGAAAAACATTGTCAAAAACGCATGCCAACATTTACAAAGAAAGTGGTTTCTTTCAAGATAATCTTTTCATTTTACAGTATTTTGCTTTGAAAATTCAGCTGCCAATAGTTTCTACAGCTCTACATCGCTGGTGAAAATTTCAAATGGATCAGTTAGATGAGTTAGATAACCCGATATCACTGAAAAAAACGCTACGGGACTGCATCGAAAGATCACAAGCACG